AAAAAAGAAAGAGAGAAATCTAAAATTAGAGAGAGAAAATAGGAAAGAGAGAGAGGAAGGAGAAGAATGTAGAGAGAAGAAGATGAAAGGAAAAAGGATTTGAGAAACTAAGTTTTTAAGGTAAAGGTTATGCTTTAATGTGTACAATTATGGTTCTTAGTTTTGATGTTTGACCTTTTTAATGTTTAAGGTTTGAAGTTGTATTTTAGGAGATTAATTGATGAATTGATTATATATGATTGATTAATTGAATATAATGTGATGTGTTGAATTTTTATAGGTTGATTATGTTAGGGTTTTAAGGTTATTGGTTGAGATTTTGGATATGTTGTCTTAGGTGAAATTGGTTTAGGATTCTTGACCAATCAATCAACCAGTTGGATTGAACCGATAAACCGATTGATATGTTGGGCTGCGGTTGATTGGTTGGGTCGACTGGTATACCAATTGATTGTACAATAAGATATAATCATTTTTTAAGGTTCATCAGTTTAATATAAAGTTAGGATCAATAAGGTGGATTGATTTCAGTTTACAATTACATTTTAGTTTCTAAACATATAGGGTTATAGGTTACACCCTGAGTTAAGTGCATTATATATATTTGTATGTTTTTTTAATTGTTTTTTAGTATGTCTTCTTTTTTATTAAGATAATCGTAATGTTCTACTTTCTAGATATTAGTGAGATTTTCTTTGAGATTTGCTTTTATGTTCTTTTCGCTTTTGAGTCAGATGAGTAAATAATATTTCATAAACATGAGAAATAGTATAAATATTTGAATTGTAAAAATAAAATGAATCATGCTTTTTGGTAGTGTGTGTGTATGTTATCTTTTGATGTGATAAAAGATGATCATTTGTTGAATCTAGTTCTAGATATGAGATATGTGTATGATTGATTTGATAACTTTTTATTTAATTGATGCAATGAGTTGAGCCTTGAGATATAATCCTATTTATTTGATTATGGTATGAACTTTTGGTATATCAGTTAGAATAATTATGATAATAATATAATATTAATCTTTGTGTACATCGTATTTCAACCTTAATTGATTAATGAAGTTACCAATCTGTGGTGACTGATTATCCTATAGTCCAAAGCCATATGGTTATTTCATTTTAATTTTCTAACAAGATTTATCTAATGATATTCCTTGTTATGGTCTGTTTGTAAAACTTTCTTGTAAAAGCCTAAAGTCAAATTTATATATGTTTTTATTTGTCTAGATACCTCATATATATATATATATATATATATTAAATGTTATCTACTACTGAGTTATTGAACTCATCCTCTCATTATTTATTATTTTCAGAATTATAATTTAGTTAACAAGTCAATTTTGTATATAAAATTGATTGTATAATTTAGGTATTCAAAAACTATTAAACAATATTATTTGGTTTTAAAAAAGAGGATTTTTCTATTATAAAGTCATTAGATAACAAAGCAATTCCTAAAAACTAGATGAAATATTTAATTGAAAATTTTGAAAAACTATTTGATATAATTGAAAAAATCCTACATTGTATTATCGAGAAAAAGTGTAATCATCTAAAACTTAGATTATTGTCTCTAAAATATTACCAGATCAAATTAATTTTTTTTTAAATGCATGGTAAAAGAAAGTGTTGCTAATATTTTTTATAGGATGACTTGATAAGTCTAAAAAACCATAAATAATTATAAAAAAATAAAAAAAGCATACCTTACAAAATCAAATGTAAATGAAATAGAGGAAAGTTTATTCACGGGAATACCATAAAAAATAAAATAAAATAAATCATAAAGATTAATTTAAAAAAATTTAAAAATTTTAAAAATAGACAAGAAATTTTAAAAAAATTAAAAAAAATTCCAAGATACCTTTTAATTTTTTTTTTTTAAATAACGAGAGAGATATAGGAAGCTTGAGTTGAGCAAAATTAATAAACTTTAAGCATAACTTGCTAGGCTATTTTATCGACAAAATTTATTTCATCGATTATCCCACCTACCGAGAGTGAAAATTGGGATAATCGATGGAAAACAGGACTTGATCGGGTCCAAACATCATGGATATCAGCTGCAATTAGAGACTTTTCAGCCTATTATTAGAGGTCCATCATGACCATGGAGAGGCCCGATATTAGGTCTACACTATTCCGGGCCATTCTCTTACTCTGATTATAGTAGTGGATCATAGAGGATTAGTATAGGTGTTAACATGGCATGGAAGTAATGGCCTATGCAAGGACTCCTCCTTGGAAGCCAAACTTGAAATCTCATTTTTTTTAAATGATGTTTATTAATTAGAAAGTATTTTTTTAAGTGATTTTTAAAAAGGTAGATAATTTTTTTATATTTAATAATATTATAAAAATAAATTAAAAAATAATTTTCAATGTTTGGATATATTATAAAATAAGATGTAAAATAATTTATTAATTTTTTTTTAAGTTTGTATAACATATATATATATATATATATATATATATAGAACATTAAATATAAATATTTGACCAAATGTAATAGAAGAAGAACGAGATATAAAAACATAGCTAGGAAGCCGACTCTCTCTCTGCTTTTGCTGACGCTAGTTCATCTATAATTTCTTTTTATTTTTATTTTTGATTTTATTCTTTCTTTATCCCCGCTAGTTTTGATATGTTTTATATATATTTATTTTGATTTTTGATTTTTTTTTATCTTTATCCCCACTCATTTCAATATGCTGGTAAATCAAACGTTTTTTTTTTCAAAGAAATTTGTCATTTATTAGAACTAAATCTTGATTGGATTAATCATGTTGTTACAGGTCAATTTAATTCAATTTTTTTTCAATAAATTAAATTAGATTAATTATTTTTTGATACAAACCGGTTCAAATCTAGGATCAGTCTCAAGTTGAACTTTCAGATTGGTTTGGTTTGAATTTTATAACTATGTGTGTTTCAACTTGTAACGTAACATTACCTGCCAACTCAACTTCACTCACAGAAGTTCAAGCCTTTATTGTCTTAATCTTAAAGCATGAAGGATTAAAATTAGAAAATCAAAAGATAAGAAATCTGAATTAACTTTAACCAGTATTTTAGGCGTCTAACAACCAATTCGCCAATGTTTAATTGGATTGTTTGTCTTTTGTTTTTTTTCGCCCCCTGTACGTTTGATTGACCTATCCCAGATTCGTTTCCAGCCTCCCCCAGTAGTTCTTAAGAAGTACCTGTCACTGCATAAGCTGTAAAGATGATACTCAAGCCATCTTCACAGAAGCAACGGGCATTTTGGAGTTGTTGTCGCTACCTTGCTGGCGACTCCTTCACTACACAGCTTAAAGATATGGAGACGTCGAAAACCCAACTTCAGAGAAGGAACGCCCTTTTTTGGCATTGTTCTTGCTACTTGTCATTTTCCTTCTGCAAGCTACTAAAAAATCTAACAAGTCCACTGCATGTCAGGCTCACTACGCCATGTCTTTCCTCTCTTGGAATTTATAAAAAATACCTGAAGCTTACCGATCACTACCCTATAAATGTCAAAATATGTGCTACCCATTGATTATTTCCATGTAATGTTGACAGAAAAATGAAAGGTTTGGGTGGGAAATTAAATTCTCAAAACCGCAATTAGCAAAAAATCCCCATCATGGAACCAATCCAACTAGAGTACAGTGAAAGGTCGAATGAATCGGTGATTGGTCATGTTATTGTTTTTTAATGTTTTTGCCCTATTGTAATAACAAATTTAATTATTTTCTTTGTAATTTCTCAAGATTGACAATTTTTTTTTTTAAGTTATGATGCCAGTTGTAAAATGTTTTTGTTATTTACAATACAATCACAGTATTTGAGCATTTTTTTAATTGTAAAAAATTTAACCTGACTCATGATTTTACTATTTATATAATACACACAAATAGATGTGTGTGTATATATTATCTACTATATAAAAATAAATAACTTTTTTCATTTAAATCTAGAAAATACACAAATTATCATTTCATACATTGCTACTTTATTTTCTAAAATTTAACTTAAAATTTATTTGATAATGTTTAAAATCATTTAAATAAGAGATTTAATTTTAATTAATGGGTAAGTTAATGTGAAAATATTTTTTATTATTGAATAATAACAGCAGCAATAATAAACAGTTGTGGTAATTTCCTAAAATTTGGAGTATATAGAATAAACCCCCCAAAATTCCTTTATCATTGATTGGTCAGTCCTCTAAATGAGGACGTCAGGACGTGATGCCATGAAAACTTCAATTATATATGTTTGTGGAGCAGGTCTAAAAAAAAAACTATATTGAAGACTTTTATCAACACAAAGAATCAATCAATCGCTTACATAGCAAGTAAAATATTGATATATATTATACCAGTCATCACCTGCCACGCACATCAATAATAAGTTTTTAATTACGTATTACATTTTCAATTTTACAAACTTTTTATATATTTGTTAATTATCACATCAAAGATCTAGCTAGATAGACTAAAAATAAAAGTTAAAAAAGTAAAATATTAACATGATACCATTCATCACCTGCCACATTAATAATGAGATTTGTAATAGAGTATATATAGAGTATTTAAGAGTATAATAATGAATAATTTTTAATATATTTATCATTGAAAATATATTAAAATAATATATATATTTCTTAAATATTCGTCCTTGCATACGTGTCTCCATCCATTGTTTCCTAGCAAAAGCAAACCCCTTCGAATCTTCACCATTGGCGCCGTGGGGTCAAAACAAATAATACAAAAAAACAAAAAAGAACTGTTTCATAATGCTAATTGCGTGGCGTTTTTCGTAAATAATCCTGAGCAAGACAAGTTGAACTTGTGGGAAGGAAAATGCGCATGACCGAAAATTAAAGTGGGCACCTTCCCATGCAACTTCGAGGAAGGAGAACAATTTCATGGCAGAAATGACCACGGATCATACGCTGCAAAAAGCCGGTGAGAACAACCTTCCTTCACATCTAACCTCTATTATCTGTACTTTCTTTGTCATTAACATGCATCCACTGATCTTTCCTCGAATAATTCTTTTCCTTTGCACCCAACCCTTTATAATATTCTCTTTACAAGCTATAAATATGGACCCTCGCCCCAGTCCCATTTCCATTGTAACAACTTGTAGAGTTTCTCCATCTTATCTTGGCTTCGAATTAATGGCGTCGCGAAGTGGGATTGTGTTTGAGGATTTCTTTCCTTCCATGGTGGATAAGTTGGGAGCTGAAGGGTTTATGAAGGAGCTGTCTAATGGATTTCAGTTGTTGGTGGATGAAGATAAGGGTTTGATCACCTTTGAGAGCTTGAAGAGGAATTCAAAATTGCTTGGATACCAAGATATGACTGATGATGAAGCAAGGTGCATGCTGAGAGAAGGTGATTTAGATGGAGATGGAGCTTTGAATGAGATGGAGTTTTGTACCCTTATGTTTAGGTTGAGTCCTGGCTTGATGATGAATTCAAGAAAATGGCTGGTAGAGGCCATTGTTAGTGAGGTGTAGGGCCTTTTTCTTATCATTTTTCTTCTTCTTTCTTTCTAAATATCTTGTAGCTTTCATTTAACGTTTTGCAATCCACCCATTTTATTTCTCTCTTCCATTTTCAGTATATACTCCATCTACTACAATCTGGCTTGGGCTCCTGTTTGATCAGGTCAACATTTTGGGTTCTAAATTGCCATAGCGTGAAGACTCCATTGATTTTAACTGTATGTATATAAACACATAACCTAATAGTTCATTTCCTAGAATATTTCAGAAGGAAAAAACACAAGAATCACTGAGAAAGGAATCTAGCTAGCTAAATTGTGGAGTCCTTTTAAGCCGACTTATAGGTCCAAAGAATTGCTGGGCAAGCTGGGCCGAAGTATATTAGGCCAGCTTACAAGTTCAATGAGCTAATTAATAAGATGGGTTTTCTTATCAGCTCAGCAGAACTTATTTCTACGGAAAAAAGAAAAAAGAAAAAGAAAAAGAAATTTAAGGATCAAACTAAAAGATTTTAAAACTTCAGTGTGAAGCCCTCCATCCCTAAATACATGCTGTAGTTGGCCCAGCTCCATGGATGATGGTTCTTCATCCCGTATTCAAATGACTTGTTTTGTATTTAAATGTATTTTCCAGCAAATTAAATTATCTAAATTAAAGTATTATATGCACTAATATATCAAATTATTATACTTTTATATTGGATATTTACATATTCCAATATATTATTTCTCATATACAAGAACACTATTCTCCACCTAAAAATTATACCTGTTTTATCAACAAATAAATTTTATTAATCAGTTTTTCACAATGTAGTTAAATATAATTAAAAAAATATCAATAAAATGCTTTTCAAAAGAACAATTTCCAGCAAACAAACAAGTTTTTAGTGCTCTGCATAGAAATAAAAGGTGTATCCAAGATCTCTACATGTGAATTGATGTTCTTCATGTCCTTTTCTTAAGTGATGGATACCTTATCCTTTAGGTATCACTCAGAATCATTTCACTTGTGACTTCTACAAAATTAGTTATATATTATATTCCTTTATTATTTCATTTTTTTGTTTACTCTTTTTTTATTGTGCTAATCCCGCCCCTGGTTGAATCTAACACCTAGTGATCTGTTGTTAATTTTAAACCATTTGAATTTTAAATTATGTTCGAAAATAAAGATGGCCCTAGGACGTAACTCAATTTCAAAATCCAGAAATATCATTACAGATGCCTAACAATTTGTCTCAGTACGTTTTCATTCTATCCATCAAGATCAGCATACAAACAAAATACATCAAATCTGTCTAAAAACAATAATATGTGGAAATTTCCCAATTTTCCAAAGAAAACTTAATTTGATTTTTTTTCTAATTTAAAAAAAAATCAAAAGCAGGTTTTAAATATGAACAGCTGCAAGTTGCTGTGCACCATGTGTTCTGTTTTTTTGGCCGAGAAAGGGCTAAATAACAAGAAACTTGTATAAAAGCAGAACGTGCACGTAGAAAATATCTATCTTAATCTACTCCCAACTCCAAACAGAGAGGAAAGAAATGAAAAAGTGTGAGCTCTGTGATTCTTTAGCACAAATGCACTGTGAATCGGATCAAGCTATCCTGTGTTCAGCCTGTGATGCATATGTTCACAGTGCAAATTTTCTTGCTGCAAAACATTCAAGAACGCTTCTTTGCCATGTTTGTCAAGCTCACACGCCCTGGATTGGCGCCGGACCAATGTTAGGTGCTACTCTTTCGGTTTGCAACAGCTGCATAAACAACTCGAGTTGTACTGATGGAAAAGGCAGTGAGAATGATCAAATCGCCAATAATGATGATGAGATAATTGCGAACATGATGAAAACGATGGTGGTGGTTAAGACGGCGATGAAGACGATAAAGAAAATCAAGTAGTTCCATGGTTTTCTTTATGCCGCCCCCGCCAGTTTGACTTCTTCTAATGATATTAGTGAAGAATGCTATCGATCCTTCATATGTGTGTGTATTTAAATTTGACGTGGAATATTTTGCAGATGTGTTTATGGATTAGTTAAACAAGGCAAAGATCGTCAAGAAGTCTCTACGCGTCAAATGCGATTTTAACAAAAATAAACATAACTTTAGATATAGTTGAGATTTAACAAGGAGGTTCTATAGAACTTTTTTCCTATGGAGTTAGCCTAATAGAGCCAGACAAGGTCGAGAAAACTCTAAAGTTAGACCTATAAAATGTTTCTGATTTTTT